AAGGTGAAGCTCAACCTGGCTTCCTGGGACTCTTCCCCGTAGGTGCTGGGTTCTAGCCGTTCCCCTTAGCTTAGCCCTTTTTTTATTCTTTTTTGTCTTTTAGCACCTGTGGGTATTTACGTCTTATAAACTGTAATTCCTCTGTTTTCTAATTCACCTCAGGGTTATGTTGCCTTAACCATGGTATCCCTAGGACGATATCATAGTCGCCTAGTTTGGTGACATCAAAGTTAATCATTTCGAAGTGCTTCTTTACGTAATATCATCAGTATCCATCTGGTTTCCGCCTTAATTATGCCTCCCAAATCTTCACTATTTAACCCGGTAATTAGGATAGGTCTTAACTTCTTCCTTCCTAAGATTCGGAGTCTCTCTTAGCATGATGGTGTCATAAAGTTGCCTATCGCTCCTAAGTCGACCATTACTCTGGGTTAGTTGCCCTAAGATCTCAGCCTCGAATTTGATATGCTTCCCTTTGGCTGTGGCTATAATATTATGACTTTAGTGTCTACATCTCTTTAGAGCCTGCAGCCAGTAACCTGTTTCCATTTTTACTGAATAATGCATCTAATAGTTATCTTTATAGCAGAATCTCTAATTTATCAGGCTGTATTTTAGATAGATCTTGTGGCGATTTGGCAGACATCTCAACGGTCACGTAGGCGGTATGAAAGGCGGTGTGTAGTAGATCCGGCAGAATCTACTGATATCACCTCCATCCTAGATAGCTCTTCTCATTCCTTTTCTTCCTCAGCTTTGGATCTTAGTTAGATAGCTACCAAATAAATTCCTTTTATTTGACAGAGCCGTGACATTATCTAAAGCTTACTATCATTTATTCTTTTCTACTCCCCGACGCGTGTGAGAAGCCGATATCGAGGCGTCATTCTCGATAAGTGCTCATCAGACGCGTTTGTGGGATCTCAAATCATTCTCTCACATCTTTACCTTACCTGACATCTGAGGTTAAACTGGAACATCAAGAACCAGTAGTCTACCTCCAGAAACGTCTTACTATGATTTATTTATTCATTCCTTTGAGACTAAGAACAAGAGCTTCAGAATTCAGAACTTTGAGAACTCCAGAACTCTCCTAGAAACAGAACCAAGGCTAAGAGCCTGAGACCCCCAGAACCTAGAGACTGGAAACCTTTGAGAATCCAGAATTGAGGCTGAGACTTTTACCTTAAATCCAGAATTTCGAAATGCCAGCCGACATGGCATGACCAGTAGAATCCAGAAGTCCAGATACTGATACCCCAGAAATCATCGATCCTCCACCTAGGAATATAACTCGAAGATATCCTGAGAATCCGGAACCAGTAAATTAACGGGTGTCTGCCATATTTATGGGCACCGAGAACATAAATAGCCTGAATCCTGAAGAATTGATATACAGCAATTCGTATGAATATGTAATGAAGATACCCAGCTATTATTTGATGCAATCGCCGAAGCTTGGGCCTGGAAGCAGGACCAATATACAGACCTAGAACATCGAGCTAGTTGGGAGCACCGAGAAAAGACCCGCCAGTTAAATGAGAAAGACAATATGATCGACAAACTTACGAAGGAACAAGATGCAGAGAAGATTATAGTAGATGCTGAAATTACCGCACAGAGGGCAGAAATTGAAGAACTTAAGGCCAAGCTAGAAAATAAAGAGAATTAGATTTAAGAGATACTCCCACCATCATGCAACGAATCTAAGCCACTCGCAGAATCCTGGTCCATTTGATTACCCTTGTCCGCAATTGCGCAAGCTCTGCTTACTTTTTGGAGTGTGATATTGCCACCCCTGGCTCATCGTTATGGGATTCTTCCCTCGTCTCCATAGCTGGGCGTCAAAGCGACGTGGTTGACGTAACCATCATACTGTGCATGAAAATCAATGCAAGATCAATGAAATACCCTTGCATCATTGTCAACAAAAGTTGACGATTCTTACAAGTTGCTAGATACTCCTGCACCAAGGTCGATCAGTACGGGGGGAGAAGATTTCCATGTTTATGCATCTTGCACCTGTGCCCATGGCCCGATCAATTTTGCAAATATCCAGAGCCATTGTGACGTGGCTGTGTTACAGACTGTCTTTGATGGCAGAGAAGATAGCAGGAACAGAACGCATGACACGGAACGCAGGTCAGGAGCGTCTCCAGCCGCATGCATAACGAGGCAACGATGCCTTTGCTCGGAACTTTGACGAGATGACTAGCTGGGGCTGAATCCTATGCCCGGGACTTCGCCTCATTTATGCGGCATAGGATGCGGTATCTGACGATTTATGGAAGCCAGCAGTGAACCAGAACATAAAGGTGCCAGTATCTCCGCTAGGCTAGCTTCATTCCTCAACAAACTTATCCTGGTCAACTGATACATGATCAATTAAGATTCCCAGTCAAGCAGAGAACAGACTCCAGCCCTTGCTCAATCACCCTCCCCAGGTCCAGACAATCCAGAGGCCCAGTCTGGTGCCCATCAAGATCGCGAATATAGCCTAAGCACTCGTGGAAACCCTACCAAAAGAACGAGAAGGCAGTCACTTGAGCGAAGGAACACCCTGGAAGTTCTAGGCGACAGGTCCGGTAGGTCCGTCCAAGATTGGCAGGAACTTTGCTAATCAGAGCAGATAATCCCATTATAATCGAAGACGACGATATGCAAAACCTGCCACCTGCGTTAGGGGAGGCCGAGGATCCAATGGTGCGCAGCGGCAACGAGAGGGAGATGTTCACAGATCATCACCTTCCAGAGAAGGTGATACGGGTGTGCCCAATTTGCTACGGTGATGGGATCGATATCGTGTTGAGATGTGGCCACAGCTTCTGTCATCTTTGCTTGAGCAATTTTGTCCTCCACGAGGCTGATGACAATCGAATTTATACCGTCTTGCCATTTGAATTCTTCGCAATTTTCACGATAAGGTGTCCCGAATGTCGAGACGACGTTGAACTTTATCGGCAGAAGCTTCCTGTGGAGAAACCAAGGGTGTCGGTACCGTGTCCCAGGTGTCCAGAACGACAATGCCCGTACTATTGGGCTATTGATGCGACATGGCTTTTTTGAGTGCTACACTGTGTGGACTCAGGTTGACCAACGATTTCAGGTCCGGGTTGCTGAAAAGGAAGAAAAGGAGTGATGGGGAAGGGGAAAAGATGATGAGCGCAGGACCCACGTGTGGCTAGTACGTCTCAAATTTGTTGGCAGTTGTCTTGTTGCTGTAAGCGCTTATTGTCTTTCTTTCCTTTTTTTTTGTGCTTTCAAAGCGACAAGTCATTACCAGCAATAAGTAACAATGCGAGTATATATAGATTTGTTGACGGATCAATAGTAAATCTGAGAACCGATGATCTAGGGTCTGACCGCACTGGGCTTCGCTCAACACCAAGTTTCAAGATAGAGAATATAGCGATTTCTTAGATATCATCTTTCCATTCTTGTTTCCTTCAATGAGTTTATGCTTGTAGCCGACATTTGTCATCTTACACGTTATATCGGTAAGTTTCAGTTCCATGTCAGTCTCACTCCCATTTGCTATGTTCTTCCACTGATATATGCTGCGGTTGAGATGAAGAGTACACTGATTGATATACGCTGTAGGTGGATCTCTGAATCAGTTAGATGGGATATCCGCCGTGGAAATAACAACATCTAACGGATCCCTACCGGCTGCCTGTCCCTGCAAATAGTGACAGAGTGACACCTGAGTCCGTGACAATGTGTCGTCGGAGTTACCATTATGTAAGCTGTTGCTTGGATCTGAAAATCGATGCATGCCTTGCCAGCTGCGATGTGATACGGGAGTTCCAAAAGCTTGTGAGTTTCATTACTGCAGAAAATAAATGATAGAATTGCGATCCGAATCCATGTTTCCTCAGTCCGAAGTCAGTATGCATCAGACGTCCTCACACGATGATCACTTCAGCACGCCTCCGATCCATTATGGCCCGTCTTATGATTTTTGCAGATCAGTCTACATGCGGAGCCGCCGTCTCTTAAGAGGGGCGTGGTATATTGCTCACTCACTCACTCACTCAGGAAGGTTTCGCCCATGGAGCTCTTGTTGGCGCGGGTATGGATCGCGAGGATTCGTCGCCAGAACCTGCTGCTGGTGGTTGTTGACGAGGAGCTGAGCCTGTACCTGTACCTGTTGCCCATGGCGCCCGGGTAGGTTGCATGGGTCCTGGTGTTCGGGAGGTATCTGGCAGGGTGGTATTTATACTTGGTCGTGTGGTGGTTGTGGCCGATGGCGCGGGTGGTGTGCCGCCTGGTGGCCGTGCAGATGCCCAGGGTGCGGTAGTTGCTCCTGGGACGGCAGAACCGGGTTGCCCTCCATTTGCCCAGGGAGCTCTTGTGCCAGTGCCGGGGCCGGGAACTGATGTCGCGGTAGGGGATGGGACGGCCTGTTGCGATGCTGCCATGCTATGGGTTGTCGGTGGTGGAGGGACGGCATTGGGATCGCGGTCCCAGCTCAGCAAAGACCCGAATGGAAAGTGCTGCACCACGGGGAATTTGGAGAGCACCTCCGCGTTATACATTTTGATCATGCCCTATCATCCACGCCACTGGTGTTAGAAATTGTTCAGGGTAACCTCTTCGAGTTGGACCAACCTTGTTGATCTTCCCCCATCCCGCTTGGACTCCAGATATATCGTACAGCATCGGGCTGTGCTCCCAGAACGGACCCTTCTTCACGTCGTATATAAACCCGATCGCGGAGAAATACATGTTCGATTTCCTCTCCCTCTCTACAGCCTCAGCTTTCGCTACGGCCGTTGGAGACGGCGCGTCTGGCAGCGATCCTTCCACCGGGGTCTGATCAGACTCGGAGATGGCAGGGGAGAGCTGGGCAGAGCCAAAGATGTACGGGATAAAGGAGTGGTCATCAAGACCCCAGACTCCGTGGGAACCGGCCGGCTCGAGAGTGTATGTCTTGATCAGCTTTCGGACGAGTTCTAGATAGCTGTTAAGATACAGACAAGTCAGCCAAACTGCTGCATGACCACAGACAGAATACCATTGTAAGGTTAACTCACGGCTGCACCACCCCCAGCACGATACCCCTCTCTTCCACGCCCGGATCTGCTTTAGGGAAGGCATTGAGCTTCCATAGGCAAGCTAGGAACGCCAGGAAACTTAGCTCGTGGCCAGTGCCATAGTCCAGTCTCTGTGCGCTTCCAAAGCTACCGAGGAAATAGGCTGTCAGCTCTGTCTTCGCTGTCGGCGACTCTGGCTCCGCGGCAGGATTTGTGGCTCCGAGGACGTCGGGAGTGAGGCACTCGTCAAGGAGGTCAGAAACCCGACTCTCCACGATCTGATACCACTTGCGAAAGCTAATGTTTCCGAACCGTCGGGGTCCTGTGTCCGGGGGCGCTTCCTCGATGATGCTCTCCAGCTTCGACAATAGGAGCTGCAGGCGGCGGACAGGCTCTGAGAATTCGACCGCATCCGAGTTTAGTGGCCAGGATTGGACTTTCTGAGCCACCTTTCGGGGGAACATGGCCCGGTTAAGCTGCAGGAGAAAGGTCATTATGTCAGTGTAAGCTTTGCTCGTTAGAAAGGCCTGCACATCCTGCCCCTCATGGATCTTCTTGGCGGGCGTCGTGAAGGTATGTTCGCGAGTGAGGTCCAGGGTCTCCAGGGACCCCGGACAGGGGCTGGAGCTGTCTAGCGCCATGATGCAGACAACTAGCTCGTAGAAGCACTCGTACAAGGAAACAATGCTCAAACAGAATTGATGGTGTGCATCGCTCTTTTGCGGCTGGTGATGACTGCGGGGAGTCCGTTCGGATCGGCCGTCTTTGGGCTTTTCGGTGGGGGCATTCCTTAGCTTAGCTCGTGCTCCACCAGAGCTTCGGTTCTCCAAAACAACTGCTCTGGACCAAGTACTCCATATTACTACGACTCCTGCTTCGCATCCGCGTCTTTGCCCGCTTCATGAAGCCGGAGGCGGGTCTCCGATTCTACAACGGGCCTAATGCTCGCAGTTGACTATGGCGCGTTCCACTCCCTCGTCACGACAACGCAACGCTCGGCGGCGGAAGAAAGACAGCACGGCGCAGGCAATTGACTTCCTCAACACCCTGACGGCATTCAACGAGGCGTCTTCCAGCAGCGATGAGGACATGAGCGAAGAAGAACCCTCCGCAGAGACACGGAGGGAGGAAAACCATCCGCGCACGCCGTTAAATGACCTTCCCAACGGTCCCGACGGGGAGAGGGCTGCAACGTCATGGCGCGATCGTTTACGTCGTCGTCCCCCACGTCAGTCGCGGGTAGATAATATTTTTGATATGCCTCAGTCTCCTGAAGTCAACTCGTCTCCTGGGTTGAGGCGATCAGCACGGTTGAACCGATTTCGCTCCATTGACAATAATCCCGAAACTACTGATACCGAGAGACGCGTTGACCGCGGTGACACTGGCAGTAGCGATAGTGATGACGACGCCGTCTCTGAAAGCGACGTCTCAGGGTTCAGCTACAAGATTTCACCAGGTACCCCTTCGCATGACAGAGCAGACCATGCCGAGGAAGCTGCTTCTGAAGCTGGATCGTCTTCCGGAGAATCCAGTTCGGATCCACAAATAAAGAGTGAGTCGAGCCAGTCAGCCAACCTAGAAGTTGTCATACGCAGTCAGCCAGCTCGTCCGGACTCTGCAGATGGCTCCGCGCCGGCACCGCCGCGGTCCCCATCTCAGCAGCGGTCGATTCCTGAGAGCCATGGAGATTCGGCAAGAAGCCGCAAGCGGGCCTTGGGTGGAGACGATTCCGAGGGAGGAGCCTCTCCTCGCAGTGAAGCGAGTGACGATGACAGTTCTATAATTAGGCCCTCGACGAGACAGCGACGTTTACGAAGTGCTCGCCGGACACCACCACCGCAGACCGACGTGCCAACCACACAGCAGTCAGCTCAGCAAAACTCCCAAGATGGCGCTGTGACTTCACCGCAAATTGTATCCCGGAGACCATCACCGCAGGTTAATGTACCAATTACACAGCAGTCAGCCCAGCAAAACGACGCAGATGGCGCTGTGAGTGTGCCAGAAAGTGTACACAGGAGACCATCACCGCAGACCAACGCGCCAGCCACACATCAGTCAGATCAGCAAAACTCCCAAGATGGCGCTACGACAGTACCGCAAGCTCAGCAAAACGACGCAGATGGCGCTGTGAGTGCACCGCAACCAGAGACAGTAACCATAAATGGAGTGCAATACGAAAAATGGGACGCCGAGGATATGGACAAAGAAGCAAATGCGCAGGCGGAGAATGATGCAAGAAGAGCGCAGCCAGAATCTCCAGAGGATCGTCTATTTACAGAGGCGTCGCGGGTCTTACAACAGCAGGAAAACTGGGCAGATCTGGTCACGAACGCACGATATATGCGAAAAGAAGGGGACTTGATCAAGTCAGTCCGGTTCAGAAGCATTGACGATATCAAGGAGCATATCTCGGGTCTATGCACGCTCTATGGTGAGATACAAGAGCAGCGCTCGACAGGCAATCGCGTCGACGTGGGTCTGCTGCACGACTCGGAGGCACGGGTGGAGATGATATCCCACAAGGCCTTTCGCATCCTCTCGAGGGTCCAAAAGCGGGCCACCTCGGGCGGTAACGCTGAGGATCAACGGCAGGGCAAAGCGGACGCGCAGAGACTTCTGGATCAGTTTCAGATCGATGTGATCCCGCATCTGGTGGAGGCGGCCCAGGCGTGTCTGAAAGCGCATTATACCTGGGGCTGGCTGACGGCCGAAGGCTTTGGCGCAGTACACAGGATCTTGCTGGTGCTGTCGTCGAGCTGCGAGCGGATCTTCACACTCAAGCGCAGTGGGATCGTCTACGCCCAAGACCGCAGTCGAGCACTGCGGCCGACGCTGCGCAGCCTGCTCCGGGCGATGGAACGGGGCGAGTTCGAGCAGCGGCTGCAGAGCTGGGCCGAACAGCAAGCTTATCCGTCCACTTCCAGGACTGAGGTAATTAACCTGGAGAGCGATGACGACGAGCAGGAGGAGGAATGGACTGAAGATGAAGCGATAGCGATTCTGGACGGGCTGCGGATGTTTCAAGGTTGGTCCAGACAGCCCATCCCCCCAGCACCTTTACTGATGAGGCTGACATCTGACTGACTAGGCCCGGACCGGTTCCGGCAGCTGGTGCAACGGTTTGGCGACCGACTTCGAGGGCGGACGATGGCGGAGATTCGAGCCAAGGCGCGGGAGCTGCGGGACAGCTACCTGGATGCCATGGGCGACTCGGCGGAATTGCGGACGGAGCATGGCCGGCGGCAGTTTGCCTGGCTGATCAATGTGTAGCAATGACAGTGACTGGTTTCGATCTTGGTAGATTGGAGCATCGCATAGGCATGACTTGGATTCTACAGCATCTTGGCGTTGGGCTCTAGCGTAGATATAGATATATATATATAAATATACCCTGTAGCGTCATGTTTCTTTCTCTACACCACTCTTGTCGTGTGATGTCTGCATTCAATGAATAATATCTCAATTGTATTATGCCGTCCACCCTCTTTTCCCCATTTTTGGTTGCGGTGGGCGTCTCCGCTCCATTCTCTGGGAACGTACTGGCAGTTGCTGGGTCAGCCAGGAACAGACTTTGGTCTTCTCCACCGCGAACCAGAAATACGAAATGAGTCCATCCCAAACAAACAAACAAGCAGGGCAGCACCGTTGTGATGTGATGTGATGTTGTATACTGATTACTATCACTTCGACGGTCGATCCAATGCGGGCTCTCTGTCCCTTAGGCACTTAGGCACAGGTTACTACTCCGTCTTCGTACGGCGGCTGCAGCAGTGGGATAGCCTGCAGCTCTAGGCCGTCTGCTGCACCGCCGATGGAGACGCCCACTGGAGCCACGCCGTGCAACGTCTCGCTCGGCCGCCTAAGCAAATCCCCGGCCAGGCGAGCGCTGCACCACATGACTTTGGAGCGCACACGGTTTGGACGCTCGCATCTGCGGACGATGCCTTGTTTTCGTCATCGTGCTGCTGTGTCGCATAGGACGAACCTTATCAATCTCCGGCGCAGGCCCTCTGCCAGTTATCAGCCCTCCGGACGCGTAGATGTGCAGAGCCAAGCCGCAGTTAGAAGGCAGCAGGCCCCTCCGGCCCGACCGAGCGCCTGTCAAGACCCTTTTTTCGGAACGCTCTCGGGTTCTGCTTCAGGCACTCCGCAGTCTCAGAGCAGCATGGGCGTGCCTTTCTTCTGCGGCATTGCAAGCAAGAATAATACGGAGTAGCAGGCTCTCTGGTTGTCCTGGCAGCTGCTGCAGCTCCTCCGACGCGCCGCTCAGGCCAATCCAGCGGTTCGCGTCGCTCCCCACCCGCTCCAGCTAACGTTAGTGAGTTCAATAAACGCCGCTCGACCTCCGCTTTTCCTGCTCTTGCGCGCTGCGGCTTCCGTACCCCTTAGTAGCCTCCTCCCGGGTACTTTGTCTGTCCTCTGTACAGCGCCGTTCTTTCCCTCCTTCCCTCTCTCCTCTCCCTCCCTCTCTCCTCCTCCGCCTCACTCCTTGTCGGGACTCGTTGTCGTCCCCCTTCGTCTGTTCGCTGACCACCTCTCTGCTCTGTCCTCCGCCTTCAATCGTCGTTCGAGCACGCCTGTTGCCCCCTGGTCAATTCGTTTCCCCGATCTCGTCCGTGCATATCTCCAAGCCAGGTGACAAAAGTGAGGAAAGCAGTCGAGCGAAGACAGGGCGTCGCGGGACTCATCGCTGAGACTGTCTCTACGAGCGTCAAAACGGCAGAGCTCGTCCGCCTGGAAGATAGTTTGGGATACCGAAAAAAAAAAACAGAGTCGAGCTGTCAACTCTGGTAAGTCGCAACCGCCTGTTTGAAATCCTGGAGGAGCAACTGCTTCAAATGATGCTGCACGAGGAGCCACGCAATTGACACCAAGCCTCCGAAGTGGCTGCTTCTCAGCAAGGGGCCCCGGTGGCATGGTGGTGAGGAAGGGATGGCAGCCTTTGACCGTGCGCTGGTGCAGGCTGGTCACAGCCTTGCCTTGCTGCTTGGGCTTGGGCTTGGGCTGTCACCAGCCACAAGCAGCATGGAACTTAACGGGCACTGTCAACTTTTCCAGAGCCTTTTGTTTTTACACTCAAGACTTCCCTGGAGGAGCCGACCGCCTTGAGCCCCGTGTGGTTGTTGCCCGTCGCATGCGGCGTCTGAATGGCAGCCTTGTGCATTCCATTGTCACTCATCTCCATTTTGTCCGTGACACTGACTTGTTTCTGATTCTATTTTTCTCAGTTACGAAAAGAGTTGCCAATCGACTTGTCTGTAATAGTACCCCTACGATCTTCCCCCAAGCGTTACTCATTGCGCCGAGCGGATACCCCTTGTTGGTTTCTGACCCACCGCAATCATGGCCTCGACCGAAGAGCCCATCACTCCTGCCGCCGACGTGGTCGAAGATGCTCCTCCGGCTACCCCGGTGGATTCCACCATCTTGTCTGGTGAAGAATCCAAATCGGAAGTGAAGTCGAGTCCGGAAGCCAGCAAGGAGAATGCCTCTCCTGCCAAGAAGTCCACAACGTCAACTGCGTCCAAACGCCCCTTGTCCAGTTCTACCTCTGCCAAACGGCCTGGAAGTTCGACTACGACATCCACCACCAGGCCTGGGACGTCCGCGAGCCGCACGTCCACCAGTGGTAGTACCTTGAACAAACCCCCCACGCGACCTTCCACTACCTCCTCAACGGCGCGCAAGCCCGGATCGACCACTACAACCACAACCCCGACACACCGTTCCAGGGCTTCTATCAGCAGCTCCGCGGATGAAAAGACCAAGTCCGTTGCTAGTTCTGGCGATGAAAAGAAGAGTGTGTCGAGTTCAGCCAAGCGCATGTCCCTCGCTGGCACTCCATCCACGCGGGCTCCTACCAAGCCGGCTTCCTCGACGGCGGATCGCAGATCCAGTGTGATCGGCGCCCCGGGCGAGAAGAAGCCTGCCACGACGGCTCGGCCTAGCACCACGGCCAAATCTCCCACGTCCACTACTCGTCCGACAGCGACTTCAAGCACACGGACGACTACCCGTCCGCCGTCAACGGGGGCTGCGAAACCCGCGACCACATCGACGGACGCGAAGGTCACGGACCTGGAGGGGAAGCTCGCCGACAGTGAAGCGACTATTGCGGGCCTTAAAGCAGAACTGGAGGCCGCGCAGGAGAAGCTGGCCAACTTCAGCGTGTCTGGAGGAGAACAACCGTCCGACCTAGAAACTGCGACGGAAGCCATTCGCGCCGAACACGCATCGAAGATCGACCAATTGGTAGCTGAACACGCCCAGGAACTCCAGGCGCTGCAGGCGAAACTGGACGAGGCCGAAGCCAAACGGAAAGAGATCGAGGAAAAGGCTTTGCAGGATCTTGAAGAGGCGAAGAAGTCTGCCGTTGACCAGAATGATAGCAAGACGGCGGAATTGCTGGAGGAGCTCAAGGCGTCCCATCAGGCCGAGCTGGAGAAGCTGCAGAAGGAGCTGGCTGAGGAGAAAGCGGCCGCTGCTGAGGCTGCCGAGAAGGTTGATCGTTTGACGGAGGAGCTCAACGCTCAAAAGGCTGCTTTGGAAGAGGCATCCAAGGCCGCCCAGGAGAAAGAAGCAGCTGCTCTGGAGAAGCACGGCGACGAAGTCAGCCAGCTGGAAAGGGAACTCAGTGGTCGTGAGCAGGTCATTGAGAATCTCAAGGGTGAACTCCAAAAGCTGGCGGATGCCAAGGACGAGGAGATCGCTGCTGAACGAAATTCTGCTTCTGCTCTGGAGGCGAAGGTGGCGGAATTGGAGTCCAAATTGACTGAGGCTCAATCTGCCTCCCAGAAGGGCACGGACAAAGCCAACCAGCAGTTGGCCGAGAAGGACAATGAAATCGCCGAACTCAATCAAGTCCTCGAGGCGATGAAGAATGAGATCTACGATCTTAAGACAAAAGCAAACGCGGCTGAGGAGAAGGTGAAGGAGCTAGAAGTCTCGCACGAAGAGAAACTTGCTAGCTTGAAAGCAGAACACGATTCCGCAACTGCCACACTAACCGCGAACCACGCTCAGGAATTAGCTGAAGCAAAGGAAGCCGCCGAGACCGCGAGTAAGCAAGTTCAGGAGCTTCGCGACGCTCTAGACAGCTCTGCCGCAGCATCCAAGAAGGAACTCGAGGATGCCGTGAACGAACTCAAGTCTGCTCACGCTGCAGAGTTGCAGGCTCTCCAGGAGAAACTCGATGCTTCCGAGCAGGCCTTGGCGGATGCCAAGCGCTCTTTGGAAGAGAGTGCCAGCGCAGCCCAGGAGAGTGCTACCCAGGAGATTGAGTCTCTTAAGGAAAAGATCGCCTCTCTGGAGGCCAAGCAGGCGGCGGATGCAAACACCATCAAGTCTCTTGAAGGCGACCTTCAGGCGAAGCAAGAGCAAGTGGAATTACTCCAGCAAAGCTTGTCGTCTCTCGAGAGCAGTAACCAGGCCAAAGTCGATGAATACGAGGCTTCCTTGAAGAAACTTCAAGAGGAAGCTGAGGCAGCGGCCAAGGCACTCGAAGAGAAGTCCCAGGAGGCTAGCAAGGCTGCCGAAGAGCATTCACAAGCTCTCGAGGCTTTGAAAGCCGAACATGCTGCGGAGCTGGAGAAGGTGAAGAGTGAGCTTATCGCCGAGCACGAGCAAGCTCTCCAGGCTCTTCAGTCCAAGTATGATGAGGTTGTTTCGTCCCGAGGAGATCTGGAGTCAATACACGCTGAAAAGATCGAAGCCCTTCAAAATGAGCTCAAAGCTGCCCAGGAGGACAGCGCCGCCAAGGCTGCCTCCCTGACGGAATCTCACGAGAGGGCAATTGAAGCCTTGAACAAGCAGGCCGAGGAAGCCCAAGCCAAACTGAAGGCCGAGTTGGAGAACACCCACACGGCCAAGGTTAGTGAGCTTGAGGCCGACCACAGCAAAGCCATTGAGGAACTCTTGACTGCGCACGAAGAGAAGCTGTCGAATCTCCGAAAGGACCTTGAAGCGTCGAACCAGGAGAAACTCAATGCTCTCCAGGCGTCTCACGACGCAGCCCTGGCTGAGCTCAACGAGCAGCTCAGCCAAGCGAAGGCGGCTGCGGCCGATACCTCGGCTGTCGACGCACTGAAGAAGCAGGTCGCCGAATTGGAAGAGAAGCTGGCAGCCACAGAGGAGAAGGCCAAGGCTTCTGCACAGGAGCTGGTTGACAAGCACGATGCAGAGCTGTCCAAGGCTCAGCAAGAGAAGGCAGAGCTGGAGGAGAAGTACAACACGGCAACTACTCAGCTGGACGAAGCGCAGAAGTCCCTGGCTGATTACGAGAACACCAAATCGGAGCTGGAGAAGGTGTCGAACCAGTTGTCCGCCGTTCAGGACGAATTGAACCAGCTCAAATCCACCCATGAGAAAGTGACCAACGAGTTGGAGTTGGTGAAGGCCCACAACCAGGCCATGGAGGAAAAGCTCTCGAAGGGAGAGAAGGAGCTCAACGAGCAAATCGGCAAGAACATGTCGCTCTTGACTCAGCTGACCGAGGTTGACTCGTCCATCTCGTCCAGTCGGAAGCGGGTTCGCGAACTCGAGGCCGAACTTGCGGCTCTCAAAGAGGCAAAGCCCAAGAATGGCCTGGAGGCAAGCAGGTGGGCGACTACAAATGAGGACGGAGAGACAGCTGCGGAAGGTGAGGATCTTGGTCCTTCGATTGAGGGAACGGTGGGCTAGCCCCGTCTTATGAAAAAAAAAAACCTCGCAATCTCTATAGATTTTATAGATTCTGTGTTTTTTTTTTGTGCTGACTTAGATTCAAGATGGCAAGCATACAGGAGCAGATTAAGCAGATCCGAGCAGCCAGCGATGACTGGTACGATGAACATCGAAGGTACGGTGCATCGTGACTATGTTGATATCTCGCCTTGGATGTGCGCTGAATGTAATCTCTCTCTAGGATCGTTGGCGAGCTTGTACAGTTTGCGCAAGATGTGGCTCTGGAGAGCCAAAGCCAGAGCCATTCATCCACCCCACGTCTTGGAAAATCACCGTCCGCTACGTCAATCAGCCAAGATGCGACTAGCAGTCCTCAAGCGGAGGAAGCTGCGTGATAGTGATTTGGTTACTCCCCATTTTCCTTTGTCGTGTCGAAGGAGGATGTTTTGGTACTGGTTGCAGTTTGCTTTATTTTCTGTTCTGGCAATGCTTGTGTATCGGCCAGTCTGTACATATGTACCCGCACTGCTTGGGATACCCCTCTCTCTCTGTTGATACGCCGGGTGTGTATGGCGGATTGTCTTTTTCAGCCCTGTTGTGTGGTCCTGACTTTATAATTATTGTCTTTAGTTTTTCTTATTTTTCCTTTAATCATTGACTGTTTTGTAATGATTAATGGTTTATTTTTTTTTGTCTTGAACAGAGATGTCGAGAAAGATTAATGTTTTTGCGATGAGTCAGTCGTTTTCTTCGTCCTGATACCCAGGCTTGTGTTCGTGCCTTTTATTATTGCCTTTTTTATTATTGATGGTTTGGATTCTATGAGAATTGGCTATTGGCCTCAAATATCTGACAGATAAGTATAATGATGAATTTCAATTTCCGGCACGTACGATTTCTATCAAGTTCAAATTGCAGTGTCGTTCTGAAGCCAAACTGGCCGGGTTACTCCATTCTCTAATTCACTAGCCGATATTAGGTGTATTTTTGCAATAAGTTGTCGGAAGGTGCATCCAGATGGTTACTACTCCGTAGAACCTCTACGGTACCTGCCGTAACGCTCTTGCTAGATCTGGTAACATCTGCTGAACTTAGTAGGAACTAAGGGTCTTTCCTTCTGCAGACAAAGTCATATGGTGCAAAAATCCTATAGAATGCGGGAAATGCCGTGTTTCTATATGCACCTAGTCAGATTTCTTCACATCATCATTGTTCAGCTTGTTTAATAAGAGTTCTGGTCGGCCAGTCAGTTTGTCCTCCCAATTCAGTCAACTGAGCTGTCCACGTAACGATTTCAGACACCAAAAACTCTCTTTCTCTGTCTTGTAAGTACAGAACCCATGATCAGGCATGTTGGTCTTGATAGCTAATGATAATTCATGTTGCAGTTTGCATTGAACCGAGCCGGTGAACCCTACGAGAACGTTGACTTTGAACCACAACACACACAATGTCGTGCGTTAGAGACTACAAGAGGTTTTTCAGACCCTCTGTTTGAAAGCCTACCGAATTTCTTGAATACTGACATTATGTCGATAGTCTCATTCTCACCTCCCACTTTGAGTTCCTCGTCGGACCCGAGCGCACTTCGGTGACAGTTCACAAGGGCCTAGCAAGTGGGCTTTCCGAACCCCTCGATGCTCTGATGAACAATGGGAAGATGCTGGAGTCGACAACCGGCACAGCTGTGCTGGAGCATGTTGAAGTCGATGTCTTTGTCGCTTTCTGCGAGTTCGCGTACAGAGGCTCCTACACTGTTCCGACCGGCAGGGAAATGGACTCGGACAGCAAGATCCCGGAGAATCGCAGTTCGGACCCTGATGCAGGCCTTGGTGGAACTGCGAATGTGGCCTATCCGGGCAAGACGCCTTCTTACCCAAGAGTTCCCGATGAAGACGAGTGGTTATCCACTCACGGCAGTGAGTATGACTGGACTTGGGCCAGTAGATGCAATCAATGTGCAGAAGTCAGGGAGAGGAGAAAACTGAGTGAGTGGATGGATGGACCACCCTATATGAGAAAAGCTCGACTGCCGCCGCCAGAACCGAACCTCTGGGTACGACTGGTGACGACGTTCGACGAGCTGAAATTCGCCGAAGCCGACCTTAGTAGGGAACGGAGCCAACCATCATCACTGACTTTTCACGCTAAGGTCTACGCGTTTGCCACGACCTACCTCATCAGGCCACTGCGGGACCTCTGTCTGGGGTATCTGCACCACGAGCTCTGCGAAGTCCCTCTTTTGGTCGAAAATCTCCAATACATCTTCGACCTGGTGGAGTATACCTATGGCCACACACAGCGCGGAGAGGCCTGGGGGCCCAAGTTGCGGGAGCTTGTTGCCCACTATGTTGCTAGCAGGGCGCACTTTCTGAGTCGGTACGATCGACTGTGGGATCTGTTGGATAGCTATGGCGAGGCTGGATCGGATCTGCTGCGGTTTCTGGTTGACGATACCTGTTCCAAGTAGCAGACGATCGATCAGCACTGGGTTTGGTATCGAGTTAGGTTAGAGAATTGTTATTGGCTGCGAAGGGGAAAAAAAAATGAGGGTGGATAGAATGCATGACATACTGTGGTCTAGCAAGTTATATTTTTACGGAAGTACATAGCTGTTAGTAGGGCAGAAGGGAAATAAATAAATATCACACATTATGAGAGCTAACCTAACATTTATTCCTCTACAGGTAAGTAGTCCGGTAGACCTAAGAAATCCAGATAATCAATCAGTCCAATGTCCATAAAAATATATATCTAAGGTAATCGATTTTAGTAGTATTGTTCAATCTGCAGAGAACCGACTGAATTGGACACCCGCCACCTGCTCCTTTCGGCAAGGCTGTTTGTCTGCTTCCCCGCCCTGCTGTACGGAGTATGTTAGATAACCAACTAAATAAAACTAAAGCATTACCTGCAGGCTGCAGGCAGATATCTCGTTCGTTCGTTCGTTCGTCGAGGATGTCGCCAGCCAGCTACCTAAAAGGACTGCACACATTATGCTCTGTGCTTCACTAGTACCTACCTACTAACTCCTCCTTCCCAATTAGGTTGTATGTAGTCACTGCGCCGTGCTCCTGCCTATGGCAACCATAAATGTGATTCACTGCTTGGACCTGCCTCTTAAGACGCTGCTCGACTCTCCTCCCTCCTCATGTTGAATATCTTCTCTTCCTCCTCCTCTTGTCTGTCTTCTCTTCCTCTCTCCTTAATAACTTTCTACTGTCATCCCTTCCCTATTACTTCCACTTCCCTGTTTCTGTGCTGTGTGTAATAAAAATGTTGTTTTCATGCTCGACTCTTCCCGACTGGTCAACTCTCTCTGGCTGCTGCTTAACTCATTTTAGTTGCCCTAACCAATGAATCCACACTTAGAAGTTAACAATATTCTTTTGAACGTTCGTTCCCTCGATGACTTGAACAGAGACACTGTCCTTGCGTTAGGACTCACACGATCCCAACCCTCAAAGTAAGGCACCCACCACACCCAAAAAAAAAGTATTACTGACAGACAAAACCTCCTAGGTTACCCCTGAGCAATTCCATGACTAGTACGACAAGGAAATCGAGGAGTCGCCGTTGAATACGACGCGCAACTCCAAAAGATCATTATCAAGGCCAAGAAAGACAGGTCCCATGCACCAGGCGGCGGCAGGGGTAATGTACTGTACATACAGTATGTGTGGTTCAATGAGGTTGTAACGCAAAGTGGAGATGTATCATCATACCAGGCTTTTTTTTGAGCTTGGTTAGTGAATGCCATTGCTGCTGAAAGTGGCTTCTTTATGTATGTACTGTACCTAGGTACTATGTACTGACTAGCTTTGCAGATGTCCTCGATGCCCAGATCCGAGATCATACCCGTCATCGCCATAGATATCGGCGTCAGCGGGCCTCTTGACAGGTTATTCAAAGATGCAGAGAAGTTGCTGCATGGGACAGAAGGTTATACGCAGCTTGTACTTCTCATTAACATTCAAGAGGATTGGAAGAGGGTAGACGTGTATCCCTGGGGCTTAACGGGACAGGAGCTCCGCGATTGGGAAGAGGTTGAACTCGCCGACTGGATCCTGGAGTGGCATCATGCCAAAGGAGTTCCGCTCGTAGGAGAATTCAAGGTGACGATGTACATGTACTCGAAGGACATGGAGCGTCGTCCTACCGGACCATTCGACACCTACGATTTCTCACTGACTGGACCTCTGAAGAAAGGGGCACTCAGTGGTCTCTTCTTCGATAAGGATTTCCGTGTCAAGTTGTTCGGGATCGAGATACGACTCCCTCTGGAGCAGCTAGAGGTATAGTTGAAAAAAATCAGTCAAGGTGTGTGAGCAGATGAGAGCGTTGGATTTTGCGCTGGCCGCGAAGAAGCGAGCTTAGGGGTTTTCTGCTAGCCCAGGTGTTCTTATCTTTATGTAGTGAGACAGTTGCATCAAGCCATAGCTTATAGCTTATTATATATATATAATCGACTGATTAATTGGTATTATTGTTCAATCTGCAGAGGACTGAATTGGGCCCCTGCCACCTGCTGCTTTCGGCAGGGCTGCTGCTGTAGGTAATTAACTTAGCTACCAATTAAATAAAACTAAAGCATTACCTGCAGGGATCTCGTGCGTTGGTTCGCCGAGGATGTTGCCAGCTAGGTAATTACTATAGTGAGATTTCATGCATTAAATCATGGACCATTTTAGCCAGCCAATACGAGGCTGCCACCTTGGCATCTATCTGCAATGTGTTTTGACTGACTGACTACGGAGTAACTGACTGACTGAATGACTAAATTCGAACGATCGATCCGTTTGTCCGTCTGTCTGCCCATTTATTCATGTACGTACTGTACAGGCGGTTACGTACAGTACCTGTCCTCTACTCTGTAGTTAGTCACCATCCTGTCTACGGAGTAATTGATGATAATTGATTGTGTTTGATTGATTGATTAGCTGAGGTAGATAGGTGTATTAATTAGTGGAGAATCTATCTAGATGGTATTTTAGTTTATTTTTTAGTTTATTTTGTCTTATTCGGATTAAAATATTTGTATGCATGGGTAGGATAGAAGACGAGTGTCTTTCTTTTTTTTTCCCCTTTGGATATTGTCTTTCTTCTTTCTTTCTTTCTTTTTTTTTCCTTTTTTTTTTCGAACTTAGGATAAATAATCAGATAGTCAGTGACTGATTACATCGTAAATAGTTATACTTGGACACAACAACAATATACTTATTGGTGTTTCTACAGTATTTATATTTTGTTTTTTTTTCTTTTTCTATACTAAAATAATATGTATGTACATACTTCAGTGCTTTCACCTGGATCTCTGTCTGCCAATGAAGTATTGCCAATGAGAACCCTGAATCCGCCCTTGTCGTATCTCCAGCGTTGCATTGACCATTGTCGTTCAACGGACTAGAGTTAGGGCCGGAGCAGCTACCGAATTGTACTGCCTGGGCTCTGTCGCAGGTCCACCCGATCGATGACTTGCATAGAGCCACGGACTAAATAAAGGAAGGGTCTGCCGTGCCTTTGCTTTGTAGGGGTCCAATCCTGTCCGCAGTGGGTACGGAGTGTACATCTATCTCGTCGGTCACGAGATGCACACGCGTCTCACCCTTGGACTCGACTCGGTATTTTCTGTCCTAGATACGGTGCCTTCCACTCAAATACCTCGCGACATCACGAAAGATTTCCCACGAAAGATCTCCGCAGAACGAATAGAAACCTCAGGCGAAGCGCAACAGTGACAAAAACGACGTCTGTCATTTATATATATATTCCTGATGATAAGTACGCTTTTTTTTTCATCACGAACACAACAAAAGAGATTGAAAAAAGAGTGGATGTGTGTGTGTGTGGTCTTGTCCATGTCAAGAATCATGACTTTGCATGCAAGGAAACGGAAGAATGAAATGAATGGAAGGAAGGAACCCAGTCCCATGCGCCCTTGATCGCAGTCCAGTCACTTTTTTTTGCTTATTATTTTTTAACCCCATTTTATCCATTTCCC